TATATATATATAATTTAAAAATAAGAATCCCTTTTCCTCTGTTTCCTACGACAGGATAAAAGATGATTCTTTCTTTTCTATTGGAAACAATGTCTTATTTGAACTTCAATAGTAATTTTTTATTTAGACAATTCATTGCTCAGAGCCAACCTTTTCTATGTTTTCTAACTAGAATATACAGCAAAACTTTATACATAGATATCCTCACTATCGTTCTGTTCTAGGAATGTTATGTCACAAGCAAATATTTGATTAATTGTTTCTAATACATGTTGTATTGTAATTAAAATATATTCTTGGTAGACGCTATCTCTAATTATTTCATTATATCGAGATTTTTCCGGGGCACATTAATATTAATTATTATTCTGTTAAAAAAATTATGACTTCTGATTTATACTTAAAATAAAAGTGTAGATGCAAACAAAATGCTGTTTATATAATTTTTTTGGCAGCTTAATAATAACCACATTTATATGGTTTCAATTAATATACAATAGAGAAAAGATATTCTTGCATGCAAAAATTTCATTCGGGCAACAACTTTGTAGAAAGACGTAATGCATGGCATGTAAAAATAACAAGGCATGTAAAAATTGTGAAATTTTTTATGTTCCAGTGGAAAACTAAATCTATACATTTTTAAAATGAAGAATGATCAACAAATTCCAAACTCTTTCGACTAAAACTTTTAATTGAACAGAAAGTTTCGAACAAAAAATAAATCAGATATCTCTTTTAATAATAAACAGGAAATGTTTTGAAATCACATTTAATCTCTATTGATCTGAGGATTAAGTAAAAAGTTTCGAAGAATGTCATGACAATTTAAATTGCATTTTTGGTTTGAAAAATACTTTATTACTAGCTGCCTACCATCAAGAGAACTTCTTTATATATTTATATTTTTACTCTTAAATATTTTAAATTTATGAAATTAAGCTTAAATTATAATAAAATGCCTTTTTATAATATTTAAGTTTTAACTCGTGTTATGTACATTTTGATCAAAATTCCGTTGTGTTTATAAATCAGAGAAATATTTCTTCGTACAATATACATATTTATAGTAATGCAATGCATTTTGACACACATTTATCGCTACTGTAAGCGTGTTAAATATTTTATCGAAAAATTCAAAATTTTATCATCAAAATAATGATGGTTTTATTAATTGAAAAAATCATTCCCTTAAATTTAAGTTATTAAAAAACTAAATCGAACAATTTAGTGTGTGGTAAATGAAAAAAAGTAATAGTTTAACAACATTTAGATGAAACATTGTTGCATAGAGGGGAAAAAAACAGAACTCCCTGAATAACTTTTGATCTAATTATCGGATTTTCACATACTAGTACACAACCTTATTGGTTCAAGAGCGTGACCTCAAACATGCTATTAATCAGATCATTTACATTACGAAATCACACACAAAAACGTTTTCTTTTTTTTCTTCTTTTTTTTTCTTTTGAATTAACATTCCTTTTTTTCAACGGATTTGGAATTTTGAATCTGGAAAATATGGTCCCAATAATTTGATCAAGAGAGTGGTCAAAATTTTGGATCTCTCAATGCTCTTTGTGCTTTTTGCATCTGATTTGTTATTGCACCGTTAATTGTTTAAGTAAATTTAAAAACAAGTATTAAGTAAATTTTTTTTTATATTTTTAACAAGCAAACAAACTAAGTAAAATAAGCATTATGTTATATAATAATATTCAAAAATATTTTGAAATGCCAGGTTTGCAAATTTTTAGCCATTTTAAAAAGTTAATTTTTTATGGCAAAATACAAAATTTTAACGAATTCGGTCGGATAGTTAGTGAGAAATCGAATTTTTTAAATAAATGACTTTTTAAAATTCGATTTCTCAGACCGATTTTGCTTAATTTTTATATTTTTCCTTATAAATTTACAAACTTTAAAATGGTGCACAATATATATTAACTTTTATAGTAAAACGTTTTTGAATTGCATTAGATAAAAAAAATAACAATTTAAAAATGTATATTATTTTCGCAGCCAATTATTTCAGATAAACTAATTTTATAATTGTGTGCAAGCACTGTTCAATTCGCTTAAAAAATTCTCTAGATATGGCTGGAAAATGTAAGCAATGGTTTCGTGGTTTCGTGAATGGTGGAAATGGTTTCGTCAATAACAAGGAAAATAACTCGTGAAATTTGAGTATTCAATTTTTGATTGTTACAAAATCGATAAACGGCAGACGATAGACTGTATGATATAAAGACGACGATACGACTACGAAGACGATAGACGATATGATAGTTTGTATTGCTATAATTCGAAACAAAACTATTAAGAAACAAGATTTCAGAGCAAAAATTCAGCAAAATGGTACACAACAGCAATACTAAAATAAAGCAATGGTTAAAAATCTAAGTTACCTAAACTATAACATTTTCGTATGCCCTAACGTGTGGACAAATATGTTCTTTACATAACTTTGTATTTGAAAGAAAGTTTTATCGGAGCACATTAATATAAATATGAGTGCTAAGAATTATTTTTGTAACCATTTATGCACCAGAAAGAAAAAAAACTCAAAGAACTATTAGATTTAGCTACAATTATAACGAAAAACACTTTTTCAAAGTTTATAATATGTAACCGTAGCATCCTCTTGCACACCTTTTTTTTGTTGTTGTTGCTTTTAAAGTTTCTTAAGAAAATAGCTTGTAAAATAGACTCAAGAGCTTTTAAATTTTATACATCAATCTAATTAATTTCGATAAAACTAAACATTAAGTTTTCATTCAAAAATTAACATTCACTAATCCCCAAAATAATGCCACAAAAAACAGTTCTAAATTAAACTATTTTCTTCTTCTTAATAAGCAACAAAATTTAATAGCCAACTAAACAGAAGCAATAACTTCAGCAGCTTGTATAATAATTTTAAAGAAATATTTGTCTTAATTAAAAGTAACATTATTCGCATGTTCTTTAGTAACAATAACTCATTCTTTCTTCTTTTTCTTTCTTATAAATTGCCTCAAAACATCGTTAGAGTCAATAAAGGAATGCAAAATATATGCATTAAAGGGTCGGTGAGGAAAAGGGGAGAAATAATTAACAGTTATGTTATTTTAAACTAGTGCACACTTCTGGATATATTACCTTACATATTTCTTCTTCTTATTTCTAGACAGCTTTTGCTATTTTTAGCAACAAAGGAGAAATGTAGTCTTTCCTTTTCATGAATTGTTTATTTTCGTTTTTTATTGTACACATTCCAAGAACAGTTTATAATTTTACCGGGGGTAAATCCTATTATATTAAGTGAATAAAAATAGTTATATTCGCAGAATGTTACAAGAATTTAAGGATTAAATATCCGTACAAGTTTTAGGTAGTATTTTAAAAATAAAATTTCATATCGTATAGTTTCGTCGCATATGTAAACATTTTTTTACTTTTCAGGTTTAAATAAATTTTCTTTCCTTAACTCTTCGAGGATGCTTTTATGCATCAAGTACTATTTAAATTATTTTAGGCTAAAACTACACAAAAAATATAAAGTATTTAATGCATATAACTGATATTATTAGGTATCTATGAGGGATTATTTCTTTAACTTGTATTTTGCGACATTGCAAATACAATAATTATCAGAAAAAAGTTACGAAATAAGAAAAAATTATGAAACAAGGACATTTTTTTCCTGAAGAGATCTGAGAAATTCACATCAATATTTTTTAGAAGATAGTGATACTCCAGCATTTACAGAAGAATCTCTCGAATTTATAAGATTATAAGAAATTTATAAGATTAATCGAGTAAAAACTTAGGACTCACAAATTCACTTCTGGAAATCTACTTTTCTTTTATTTTCGTGATAAAATATCGTAGTAAATTAGTTGTGGATATAGTTGTGTAGAATAATACTCTTTGTGCCTGCCTAAATTCATTACTTTGGGCATAAATCAATAATTGCAAAGAATCAAGAAATCAATAATTGCACTAAAATTGTGAAATATTTCATGTATATAATGAAATTAAATTATATTATTAAGTATCTAGGAAAGATTTCTTTTTCAAATTCCAAATTTGTGATATTATAAACGCAACAATTATCGGAAATAAATTTTAAAGTATGAAAAAACCAAGAAACAAGAATATTTTTCCGTTAATAGACTATCTAAGAAACTCACATCAGTAATTTTCTAAAAAATAATGATAACCCAGCAGTTGCGGCAGAAATTCTCTTGTCTACTGAGTTGAGCTTAAAATTATAAGATTCACTGAGTAAAATCTTAGGCTTGACTTAGCTATTGACCTTTTTCTATTTTAGTGATCTATTTTAGTGAAATATCATAGTAGATTGGTCGTAGAATCCCAACGAGAATCAAACAGGTTTTGCTATTTTCAGTTCTCCCTTCCTCAATAGGGATACATTTTATTTCCGTATCGTTTTTTCTTTTTTTTCCTTTTTAATTAAATATCAATCTACTTATGCATAGTTTTTTTACTTCATACTTCATTAAGATTTTCTAAATACATACACGAAGAAAACTAATTCTGGTAAATTAACGCACTGTATAGTAACGAAATTTCTGC